GCAAAAGTTAAGCAACATACTTTCTGAAATACAAAAAGTAGAGATGGACGGTGGCAAGAAAAACTATGCTGCTTCTACAAGGATGTATGATGGAATGTGTAAACTAGGCATATGTGCATAGGCAATCATTCATTCATTCAGCATATGTGCATTGAATCTTTATTACAAACCGGACATTTTTATTGGAGACATAGCCATGACCAAAACATACCAAGTTCTTGAATTCATTGAGCTTAGTTTTTAGTGGATAAAGTAGAGAATATAATAACAAAAATGTAATTTCAGAGACTGATAATGCAGTGAGAAAAATAAAGTGGCGAATAGAAACACTGATATTGGAGGGATTGAGACAGTCAAGGGAAAACCTCTCTGAGAAGGTAATATTGGGGCAGAGACCTGACTTTCAAGACAGAATCACTCATGCAAAGATCTAAAGCATAACATTTAAAGCAGAGGGTATAGCAGGCATAAGGACCTGAGGTAACAAAGTGTGTTGGAAAAATAGAAAGAAGGCAAATGGAGCTGGAAAAGTAACATGTTGTTCATCCAAATTGCCTGCAACCACTGGTCTCTGCCCACTCTTTCCCCACTAAGCCAAAAATAACTTACTGCTTCACTTGTTTAATTTTGCATTTATCATTCAGCAAATATTTATGGAGCCCCTGAAATAGGCCAGGCATTCGTCTAGCCCCTGAAGATATCAAGATATATAATACAAAATTTCCTACTCTCAGGGAGTTCACATTCTAGTGACAGATACAGACAAGTAAGCAAAGAGCAATAATACCCCATGCTATTAATATAACAGAGACAGGAAATAACATTTCTACTAAACAGAGGAGGAGGCAAAGGCAAAAGTATGCATGTGCTCGGGACAGATAACAAGTTAACCATGAAAAGGGGCAAGAAAGGGCCCAAGGGCAAGAAAGGGCCCAAGTGCCAGAAAGCGGTGAGGGCAAATCTGAGCTAAGAACTGGAAGGTGCTAATGAGGACTCAACAAGGAAACCTGGAAGAGTATTCAAGAGGGTCCTAGTGAACGTGGGTGAATGGTCTGCTGCTTTGAATCTTCAGACACTTTCCGTAACATCATGTTCCATTTAAAGCGCTTTAATCATGACTGCTAGCCTGCATGCGAACACATTTTCCCAGGTCCCTGTGAGATAAAATTCTACCTCTAGCCAAGAGCCAAGCCTTCCAGAAACTTACACCATGATACAGAGATCCAAATTCAATTCATCAACACCATCTGCATAACCAGCTGTTCGCCTCCCAGACTTTTTCTTTTTTCAAGTACCGCATGTTCACAGGGCAAAAAAATTTATGAATGAAAATGTTATCTGTGCTTTGAAGTCCTGCATTTTATAAATCCAAAACCATCCTCTGCTGTTCTCTGACAATGTTGTTTATGCCACCTGGAGAAGCAGGTTGTATGTGTCTTAAGGCAGGACTTGGATCTTTGGTAATTTTTAGCAGTGTCTTTAGCCTAAGAGTCTAATAGCACATGCCAGGAAATCAACATGTGTGTTCGTCAGTTTGTCAAGATGGTCACATTCAGCAAGCTCCATGTCACCTACAGGCATTAACCAGCCACAGCACAGTGTCTCAGAACCTCCTGTTGTCCCATGCTTATTTTCCAGAGGATTTGATTTCCTGTTCATTCACCCATCTATTCATTCATGCACAAACTTTACATAATGCCTATTATTTACTCAATAGATAACAATCAAAATGCAACAAAACATGTCTTTCCAGTATTGTCAACTGTCCAAAGGATTTTTTTCTCTATTCCTTTCACTAAGGATGATAAAAGTGCATAACATAGATCATTTGAAAGAATAAATGAAATATTGCAAGTAAAGGACTTAAAACCCAAACTGGCAAATAGTTAATACTCATTATGTGATTGCTATTATTACGGTAATAATGTATAAAACAGGATTAATGCATAAGACATATGTTATGACTCACACTGTATGAATATAAATAATTATAAGCACATGTACATAATTGTACCTCATCTATATTGGCAACACATACACACGTTTAAACAATTATCCAATAAATTAGAGCAGTATTATAGCCTATCTGGATACTGTCATTTATTTTTTTAAGTGTAGTTTATTTTTTAAAAATCCAGTTGGCTTTGATTGTAGTCACTGCCATTTCAGTCTATCATTGTGAGTAACAAAGGTATGATTTGTTGATTTGTTGGTGATTTATTTTTAATATAAATTTATAATTTAGTGGAAACCCAAGAGGGCACATCAATAACACAGATAATGTTATTTAATTAGAAAAATAATTTATTAGGTTAAAAAATTAACCTAAAAAGCATCAAACTATGTTGTTGAGGAGACTTTGAAAGGCAATGTTCAGTCAGATCCTGTGACCTATGCCAAGAGAACACCCTGAAAGATAAAAAATTTAAATACCCAGTCCCTCTGCCTCCTTGTGTCTCTGATCCAGAACATCATGTCTACAGGGCAGCCGGGTGTAACAGATTTGGGTCATAATGGCTGCTTGTTCTTTTTGTTGCCCCAGATGATTGCTATAGAATACCTGTACCTCATTATAGTACTCCCAAAAGTACATTTTTTGCCTCCTATTTTTGGTCTTTGGTGTGCACAAATTTGGGAAAGTCAAACACAATTAAAAATATTGGATGAAAACTATGAATTTGAGGGTCAGAGGAATTTACTCTTCTCACCTTCATCAAGACAAGGTCCAGAAGCTTTCTTTTCATGTTAACCTTTGCCTTGAAAAATGTGGAAAGCATTAGGATACTGGAGAAGATATTGCAATATGGAAAGCTGTAAACAGTCTACAAGTTTACATCTTCAACTTATCCTGGCAGGCCGTTATCACCTATGACAAGGAAAGTTCACCATGAGGATAATGGGGTCTAACATACTAGGAGGCAAGCTGGCTATAGATTTCTCTGTTATTCAGAGGCCCTAAGCAATCAGGAAGTCTGGAACAAGATTTCCACTTTTGGTCATATATCTACAGTGCATTTTATTTAATTTGGAGTGTCATTGTTGTCACAAAGTGATATTCAAAAGCTTCTGGGGATATATGGAAAATTAATGGAGGGCATTAGAAAATCAAAATTGCTTTAGTGTTGTGTTTCTGTTTAAACATGTGGGAAGATTGTGAGCAGATGCCTAAGTGGCAGAGAAACGAGAGACAATATTTCTGTGAGATGGGAGATGGGGGCCTGTGGAGGGAAGGGCTGCAGTGGAAACTGCAGGAGCCGTTTACTTGAAGGGCGATCAGACGGTACTGGTGCAGGTTGCACTGCTTAAATCTCTAGGGAGTAAGTGTAGGGTCTTCTCCTTGCTTCTGCCTGGAACACACATCTAATACCTCAAGGATCTTCACATCTTTCCAGGTGAACACCAACAATGGACCCAAGTCACCTTCAAGTGGACTGTTAGACAAAGTACTTCATTATAGTGCTAAAGAGTAATGGCAGATGTTACGGATGGGCTGAACTGTGTCCTCCCAAAGATTCAAATTTTGAAACCCGAATCCCTAGTACCTCAGAGTGTGACTATATTTAAAAATAGGGCCTTTTGATAGGTGATTAAATTAAGATGAGGCTATTAAGGCCCTGATCAAATCTGACCGGTGTTCTTAAAAGAAGAGGGCATTTACACATACAAAAAGGCACTAGGGGGTTGAGTGCACAGAGGAAAGACCATGTGAGCTCACAGCAAGAAGGTGGCCATCTGCAAGTCTAGGAGAGAGAGGCCTTGTAGAAACCAAATCTGCTGATATATTGATCTTGGACTTCTGGCCTCCAGAACTGCGAGAAAATAAATTTCCATTGCTTAAGTCACCTAGCCTGTGGTATTTTGCTATGGCAGCTCAAGCAAATTAATACATCAGGCATAAGAGTGCAAAGACTGTGGCTGTAATTGACAGATTGGTTTAGAAACACATAAAAGCTTAGGGGCATTCAGACAAGTGAGAGGGAGATCAGCTCAAGAAATTCCTGGACTGAACAGGTAAATTGGAGACTGCTAAAGACATTTAGATTATTATTTTAAATGTGATCATTTGTAAATCCACCTACTAACAACTAAAACATATTGAACTCTGGAGATGCACTTAACATAGGAGTTAAGAACATGGACCCAGACTTCCTAGGTTTGAATCTGGTTCTGTGCATGATCCTGGGTAAGTTAGTTAGCCTCTTTGACTCTCAGTTCTTCATCAGTGGAGATAACAAGACTAACTGCATAGGGTTCTTATAAGGATTAAATGATTTAATATGTAGAAAGCATTTAAATAGTTCCAGGAATGCAGTGACATACATAAGTGTTAACTATCACTATTCAAAGTACCTTATTAAATCAATTTTCACAAAAACTCTTTAGGCAACTGAGACATGGTAAGGTAAATTAACTTACTATCACACCGTTAGTAAGTAATGGAAGCAGTATTTGACCCATATGTTATTTGTTGTACTCCATAGAAACAAAGGCTTTATTTACAAAGCATTACCAAAAAAATGCCAAGTAGATAGTTAAACAAAAGCTGTCTTTAGGTATACTAGGTTCACATGAATACAATTTGTTTCTTCAAATGACAAATTTACAAATAAAAAAATGTTCATTTATTTTATTACTACAGTTTGACAGTTTTATCTGATACTATTTAAGACAGTGTATTGAAGCCACTCACTAAACTTCCCTATTTTTCTAAAGACATATCTATTTATGAATAATAAGTAACTAAGGTAAATGGTCAATGATAAATATTTGATTGAGGAAGCAGAGAAGGTAAACAGAAATAAACAACTTTTAAAATATATTCAGAACGCTTTACCGTATGCATTTTTTATTTTCTATATTTTTCATTCTTAAAAATTTATTCAAGAAATAGAAATATCTGAATCTTTGAACAATGCCTTCTAAAAGAAAGACTGATTGCATTGTTGCTATTTTCAAGTCTGTTACTTCGAAAACAAGTACATTTGATGAAAGAAGGCATTTTATGTTTCCTTTGGTGTACATGTGTCTAGATTAAGAAATACTTCCTCTTTTTCTTTAAGTGCAATATTATATCTGCAAAGTGGTGGTCTGTGAAAGAGAAAAAGAGAGAGAACAAAAAAATAACTATTAGTAAAACAACAAAGTTTATCTCCTTCTCACATAAACATTAGAATAGTCTGAGCTTATAACTAGCTAGTTCTCCAAATATAGAGAGTGGGAACAAAAAAATTTCTATGTTTCAACTTCTTCTCTCCTCGCTGCTTCACTGAAATATTAATACTTACATCGTATGGGAAATGTAGTTAGGTACTGAAATAACTGAAAACTGAACTTCAGGCGGCTCTTTCCATCATGATCACCAGCATGAAAGAGCTGGAGTGAATTGCA